GTGTTAGTCTGGTTTGGCTGTGTTGTAACTGTACTTGCAGTGTAAAAGAGCACAAAATGTACATTAAGTTTCAGGACCTTTTCTAACATTCTTGTTTGGTGAAACCACAATCTCCTCCTCATGACTTATAGATCAGTGTCGCTTCCTGTTGGACTGGTCCATTATTTCAATCGGGGGTGTCAGGTGCCAAAAGTATTATAATAATAAGCAGACATGCTATTGTTTCTCATATTTGCTGCTGACTGCGGGCTAGTGGTAAATATAGTGAAAACTGACTTCTAAATGTCATGTTTAAGAGTGGAAATCAGGTTGAGGCACTCTGCATATCTCAGATCTACTTTGCAGCTTATTCTGGTCAGGAAAATATGAAGATATTTTTTGACCCTCAGTTTGTTTGTTTTAGTTTTATGTACCATTTACAGTAGGTAATGTCTGTAATAGTTTATTCAACGAATGAATTAATTAATTAACGAACCTGTGCAGCTTGTCAGTGGGGCAGCACCCTCACAGAAATATTTCACACCTTATTTACCCTTAGCTTTACAGTAGTACATGAAGGGTACATATAATCTAAGGTAGTAATATGCACCTTTTAGGGCTAGATAGAGTATAATGTTGTCCCATTATTAACCCAGTGACAAGCTGCTGTACACCTAGAGGTACAATATTTGCACATTGTCTGTCATAACTTTAAAAAAAATAACATAAACCATAAAAATACTGTGTTGGGGGGTGGGGGATACACATACACAGAGGACATTAGCACATATTTGTGCAGACTTTGCATTTCTATTTTTCATTTTATTTTATTTTTTTCCATGTATGCAGCTGATCTTTTAAGCTGAGCCAACAGCTACCTAACAATTTGCATGACATACAACTATGCCCAGGTCAAGCTGGTTGTTGTCCAGCCTGAAACCTGCTGCCAATGTGTCCCAGTTCTTGAGCTAATTTAAATTCAGCAAGAGTAAAGGTGTCCAATCCTGCAACTAGATGGCCAACACATCTGCATGGAAGTATCCAGTGATCCTTGAAGACCTTGATTAGTTGGTTCAGGTGTTTATCTAGGGCTACAGTCAGTGGCGTCACTAGGATTTCTGGGGCCATTGCACCGAATTTGTTATGGGGCTCCCACAAAATAATTTTCATTTTGAATTGTTCTGGTGGGTTTGTCGCGAAAATCATGTTCGGTATCGCAAAATCACATTCAGCAACTAAATTTGCTGGAAGTTGACTCTCCAGGAGCAGGATTAGAGACTTTGTTTTAAATAATGTTGTATCAAACCAATCAGCAGGACCATTTTTTGCCCATGATTTCACTGTTTACTGTGTGCACTTCCCAATTTTTTGCTACTTTGTCAAGTTTGCAAAATCATCATTCTCTGATGCTTTCTGCTGTGCTTTTTATGTGGAGGTCAAAATGGTATGTCGCATGCGTGTTCAGGCAGGGACTTTAGTCTAATGCTAGTCAGTTCTAATCATGCGCGATAAGAACAATCAGCACTGCATTTTGTTCTGTTATTATCATATATCTTCATATAAATTCTGGAAGACTGGAGCAAAAAAAAAGAAGACTGACAATGCAATACTTATATGTAAACAGGACATTTTAGAATTACAGTAGCATGCCCTCAGCCGTGCAAGCATCAGACCCTAACGCATAACTTGGGAAATGTTTGAACTGTATCTAATTTAAGATGCCCCAGCACAGACTAACACATACTTCCAGCAGTCCCCTGGGGCACAGAGGGCAAAGCTGGACAACTCAGCTGAGGCTTTTTATGACAAATATTGATCCTCTTGCCAGGGTGCGCCGCAAAAACTCTGCCCAGACAGACAACAAAAATAACTGTAACTATATCACAACTTCCTGCCAGAGGGAATGCATCTCTAGATATGAGCCAGTGTGGAGGCTATTTCTGTCCGCAGTGGTGGGCTGAATGCAGGAGACCCAAGCGCAGGACCCTTCCCTGGAGATGTGTGAGTGTGGGAATGTGTCAGGATGCTGCAGATTACCGTAATAATAGTGTGTAAAGGTTTAGGGGTGTAAGGCCAAGTGCTAGTACAAGTGCAATGGACTGCCAGCAAGAGTGTATGTGTCAGAAAACAGCAGCATTGATGGATTATGAGAAGAAAACTGGAGGGAGGGTGGGCATGTGAACAGGAGAGAAAATTACAGTGAGGAAACTCAGGGGTGAAAGTTCACGTTGTCTGCAGATAAATAGAAAATATCCCTCCACCTTTTT